TTTGCTTCAACAGCTAGTTCTCCAATGTATCTGGAAACTTCACTCATCTGTATTATGGCCTCGGCTACCATGTTGCTTATGGCTGCATTTTGTTCTTTATAAAAATCATTTGATTTTTGCCATTGTTAAGTAGTTCCATGAAGATTTCGCTTTAACTCATTAATTCATACTTGACAACTCTATAGTGCACTTTCCAGATGTTGAATTCGCTTTCGCAGTAAGGTATTCTCTTCAAGACTTTCCCGAAGATCACTCGGTCCCCGGAGAACATTTTCTTGGAACAAGGATTCTTCGAGTTGTAGGATGTAATCACTGAATTATGTATGTTTAGCCCGACACTAAGCCAGATCCTCTTCAAGTCTTGTCTGTGTTTCTTGTATCCTTTGATTGAGACTCTGCACTTCTTTATTTTTTGTCTCCACACTTTTTTATCCAGCTGTTGGTTATCTCTTTCCTTGCTTCAAGCATAGTATTAAAGTGTTTCTTTTCCAATTCCCATATATTCCTTTCAGTATCAAATTCTTCGATTTTTTGTGCTCTAACATCAAGTTCGGCAAGCATGTTATTCATTTCGGCTTGAAATCCTCTGAACATGATGGTCTTCTCAGCCTCGTACCCCTCAAGAATGTTATTATTTTGTCTTCCAGTTCTTTGACACGATCTTTCTCCCTTTTTAATTCTTCCATAGCTTCGCGGCTCTCAGCTTTATATTTTATGATCCGCTCCCTCTTATCAAGATGAAGCTCTTCTTTTTTTATTTACCTTTCTCTAAGCTCTTGAGTACACGAACATTCTTGCCTTCAAATTTTCGACTCGATTTTTCTCTACGTTTAACTCTTTGGTTAATTGTGCTGACGCTCTTCTTGACCCAACTGTGGACCTAGATTTTTGTAGCTTGTAGTAATCCTTCTTCAGATCTTTTAAATCTGATTCTATTTTTTCTTTTCTCACTTTTAGCTTTGCAAATTGTGCAGTATGAAAGTCAGTATCGATACTCAACATGTATTTGTCTCGTCGCATCTGTTCCAGTTCTTTCAACCAACCTTCTTTCTCGGCTTCGAACTTCGCTCTCAAGATCTCTACCTCTGATGGGACTATCCGATTTATTTCCTCCATAGGGACATCCTAATTTTGGTCAGATAAAGGAATATTTTCATTCTTTCTAACATACCTCCACTCCTCGTAATCTGGTGTCAACATCACCTTGGCTGCCTCAGCTCTAGTACGAAAAGTCTTCTTCCATGCTCTAACTGCCTCAAGGATGTTTTTTCTTATAATTGTTTCCGTGAAACACGAACTCAGATGAGTGCAATCCAATAATGATTGGAACAAATTGAGGGCCATCATATTGCCTCAAAACCAAAAGGGGTGTGTACTCAATTCCTCCCTACAAACCAAGCAACATCACCCAATTGTAGTCACGCATTTATAGAGGAGCTCACTTTGTATTTGCCAAGGGGCACGACAAACAATGTCTTTGTCTCGCATATTTCTAAAGACATCTATCCACATGTCTTTAGTGACTCCTTTTGGCCAATCTTGCTCGAGGAATTCTCTCAAAGGAGAGTATTTGGTACTAAACGATGATATGAAATCTTTTCAATTTTCCAAAAATGACTACGTATCCAGACATATAGTAGTTGTACACACCCTGAAAATTGACCACCTCCAAGCTTCGACAAGCATTCAAGGATCAAATGGTCTCTGCTAAAATCACAGGAGCAGGGTTGATCTATTTTAATAACTGTTCAAATAAATCCATAATTGCAGCCTCAATATATCCCAAGGCCTTTGGGAAGATGACTAAGCCATAAATACCCAGTGCAAAGAGGTCAAATCGAATCTTCTCGTCAGGATGACTTTGAATGATTTCTTTAATAGCAGCCTAAGAAATACCTTCGCTTTCTCATTTTGTTTGAAACAAGCAACCACCCATTCCTCACGCACTCCTATAATTTTTTCTAATTTGATTCTGAAGGGTTGAGTTTTTATGGACTTGGAATAAATTCGATTCTCTTGAGCCTCTTCTATGTGCAACAAAGCAATATATTGTTCGATGGTAGGAACCATATCTTCTTGATTGAAAGTGAAGCAGTTATACCCTGGATTCCAAAATTGAATCAAGGCTCGAAGTAGCTCATCCTCTATGTCAACATACAACAGATAGGAAATGTCCCAATAACACTAGTAAAACTGCAGTTTCTTGCTCGATTCCCATTTTTCCCTAATGTCTCGTTAGTCTTGGACGTCATTTCTTTTAAGAGAAATAGGAGCATAACCCAATAAATCTAACACATGATCGGCTTGCAAACTGTCCCTTTCTTATCTTTGCAGTGCTTCAGACCACTGTCGTACCTTAGAGTTTTGAACAATTTGACTCAAATACTTTTCGTCCATTAGTGAAAGCTTTCCAATTTGACGATTAACTAAAGATCAAAACCCTCAATCTTGAATGATACAATGCATGTAGAAAAAATAAAAGAAAAATCCAAAAAGAAAACGAGTTAGTACGGTAATGAGTTAATAAAATTTTGGAAAAATACCTACCCATCATGATAGCTACCCAACATTCTTTTTTAATAAATAGCAATCCTACCCAAACATGATTTCTATCCCATAAAATTAAAATAATAAGATAAACCTTAAACTGCATAATTTTCTAATTCACATGCATTTATAAAAATAAATAATATATTAAAAGACAAAGTTTAGAGTTAATTTATCCTTTATGTACACTTATTTGGGAACCTATGGATAGACTTTCGAATTGGTCTTAGATCGGGTGGGTTTCTACGGTTTATTACATACAGAGTTTCGGTTCTAAGAGTAAAGCTACTGAATTATCCTTGTTGGTTCCCCCTTGGGTGGGCTAGACCCTCAATCCTCACCCATTATAGGCTTAAGCGATCGAATTCAATTCGAGGGGGCACATTTTCCTATGCCTTACATGGAGAATAAATCCTCACGAAGGCATAGGACATATGAACCCCATAAGCTAATTGATAGGTCTGACATGGAGAATAAATTCTCACGAAGACGTCGCTTTAACTCCCACTTAAAAGGAAGAGCTCGGGTATATAGCTTATGTTATGCAATGCAAGTGTCGTGTGTGAGGAGAAATTATCAAACCTTTGACAAACAACCACACAAAAATGAACTAAAGTGAATCCAAGACTTTAATATCTTAAAATAAATCAAATGCACACATTAGTATACAAAATATAAAATTAAATAACGATTGAAAGGAATCAAAGGAATCGTAAATTAAATACAACTGACTTCTCAATTTCTAACTATAGAGACAATATATAATGGATTTATGGCTTGACCCTCTAATTCCCCAGCAGAGTCGCCAAGCTGTCGTAACCGATTTTCGACGATACGACTAGTCCCGACTTTTTTTTTGTGAAAACCAATTTTATAAAATAAATGTTTCAGAGTGGCCATCGACCTTTTGAGTTAGGTAGGTCAAATACCCAAAAATTTTCTTTTAAAAGAATTTTTAGGAAAACGTCATTTAAAAGATTTATCGATCCACGTGTAACCAGAAATTATTTTTTAGTAATAAAAAGGGTTCAAGGGTCGATTACGTGTGAGGAAGGCTAAGCACCCCCACAATGCCCAAAATTGGTACCTATCGATTATATATTGTCTCTAAATAGTAGAAATCTAAGATTCGAATACATATTTAAATTATGATTCCGTTATTCCGAATTCAACCATACAATATTATAAAACAAAAATTCTAAGGAAAAATAGAAAATATTCTTATATTTCCAATTGAAGAGAAAATACTCCCTAAATACTTTAGGACGGATATTTCTCTTTTCCACTGAAAAAAAAGGAATATAATATTTTTCCTAAGAATCCAATATTAAAATAATTTTTATTCTATAAAAGAAAGAAATTAAACCCATTAATCCGAATTATTATTATTAGAAGAGATAAGGGATATTCAATTATTTAAAAATACCGATACTAAATCCCTAATAAAATTAGACGAATCGTCTCGATAAGTTTAAAATAGTGAATATTTCCTTTTCACTTCAAAATTAATTAATTTTAAATGCAATCAAATTTTTTAGGTTTTCTAATGGGATATTTATTTATTTTAAAATATTAGAAAAGGACATCTGGTTGTCTTAAGACTGTCCCTTCTTAATATTTTAAAATACATAAATATTTCCCTTAATCCCATTATGTAATCAGTTAAGATATGCTAATGAGGCTTTTAAACAAAATAAAATATGATAAATTTAAGCACTTGGAGAAAAATTAATAAATACACATATGGATAAGAAAACAATTTAAGGCTATAGATACATATTTTCTAAATATTATATTAAACATAGAACATAATATTTATTCTAAAATATAAAAAATAACATATTAATATCATGCTCTATATACAATATTATGCATAAAATAAAGTAATATATTATATAAGTAAAATAAATATTTAAAACATAAAACATACTTTAATGATACAAATAAACAATATACATATGAATCACCCATAACATAGTGACAAAATAATTATAAAGTAACAGGTGTATTATAAACATGAATAAAATGAATATTATAGCATGAAACAAAAAAACATCAAAACAGAATCGCCATAATCATAATAAAACCTAAATATAGGACTAAAATGGAAGATCACAAATATCATCAGCTAATTTCGAAAAAAAATAATACATCCAATCAAAGGACTAAATTAAAATAATGGAAAACCAAATACCTAATTCACAAATAAAAAGAAATGGTGACTAAATCGCAAAAAATGCTAAAACTAGGAGGACCTGAGGCTCGATTATCCCTAAAAATGGATAAAACGCTTATCACATTAAACATAAAGGACCAACAGGGTGATTTAACCTAAAACTAATGATTTAAATGCAAAACACGTTAAAGGTCTAGGGACCGTAGAATGATTTACCCAAAAATTCTAAAATATCAATACCTCCCCTTTCCAGAATCATCTCGCCCGAAAATCTCAACCCTAACTCTTTTATCTTTCTTCTCCTCTTACCCACGGCAGCCTCTCACCGATGAAACCAAAGCCTCACAGCCTCAGCAACCATACATGGGTGGCCATTCTAGTCCGACCATGGCCCTAAGATTTTGGGAAAACACAAAAACAACCTCTCCACTTCAACTCAACCCTCTCATGCAAGAGCCAAGCCTAAGACCGACCGTCGTACACAGTGGTCCTTCTCTTCTCAGTCCACCTACGACACTACCCTCTCCTTGATGATTTATACACCGACGTATACCCCAACAACAAGGTAATCTAACCCCTAAATCTCTATTTTATTTATTTTATTTTGAAATAGCATAGAACCAAAAGTAAAAACAAAATATTAGAATACCTTCAAGAATTTGATTGCTGAAAAACTGAGAGAAAAAAGATCCCCTCTCTTGTTACATAGTTCAGTCTTTATAACAGATTTTACATAGGTCTTTTTTTTAAAAAAATAAAAACAATCCTAGATCTACTGTGGTGCTACTGTGTTGATGACAGTGTGTTTTTAATGCCCCGGATATTCTGGGGTTTTGTTGATATCTTTGACAGATCTAAACGGTGCGATTGTGGAGGTGGCAGGAGGCTTGGGAAATTACGACGGCGGTTGTAGGTATGATATCTCTAGGGTTAGGTTAGTATCCGGGTTTGGTCCTGTACTTGGGTCAACGTGTCTGATTTTTTTATTTGGGCCTCGGTTGTTTGGGTTTTAGTTAGGGTCTATTGGGCTTGAGTCTTTGAGGTTTGGGGTTATGGGATTTGGGGTATGAAAAATGGTGTTTACATCATCTTCAGTTTAACATTTCAGGAAATCAATCTCAATAGTTCATTATCGTATCTAGAGGTTGCAAGTCACTCATAGTAAAACCAATGTAAATGATGTTTTGATTAATCTCCTAGATGGTAACATATGCTTTTTGATGTTGTCTTAGCTTAATTATGCATGTTTTGAGTATGTATGTGTGTGTATATATATATATATACTCATGTTAATGTTTGGCATGATAAGTTGGAAATGCTTTGAATGACTATGATGGTATGTTTTGATTTGATGATTTGTTTTTGGTAGTCACACATGATTAATAAGTTCATTTTGACGGTTTTTATTATATGATCATGCTTAATGATGATTTAGTATTTAAAATGTAAGGTAAGTTGCATAAATATTATTAATAACAAGCTAAGAACATGTCGAACCATGTATTTGGTTATGTTGGGTTAACAAGTGCATGTTGAGTGCAATTTGATGTTAAATATTAATAATTTGAATTGTTAGGTGAAGTTACAAGTAATTTGAGGTGTCTTAGAGCTTAAGAGATTTTGAGGCTTTAGGGGTTCTAGTATCGAAACCTAGTCTTCAGTATCGATAACAGTGATTCCAGAATGACTTTTAGTATCAAAACCACATTTAGTATCGAATCTGGGTTCCCGATATCGACACCATACCCCCAATATTTATATTGAGCCCTAAAATTTGAAACTTTACATTTCACTTCTTAAATCATAACTTTGTCATTTTATGTTCTATTCGATCTTCGTTTTTTAATTCATATTTTTGAAAGAACAATTAATTAATAGATAAATGTATATTAAAAATGACTGTTTTGAATCACCCTTGTAATCTTTATACTTACATTTTATTCCCTCAACTATGAATCAATTACAATTTCATCCTTAATACTATGGAAAGTATTAGTACCTAATCAGGAACTATTTTGGAAATTATTTAATAACGGTGATTAATTCATGTTTTTTTCTCTGAGATTCATGTGTATCATTGAATGTTTAGAAATGTTTGTTTGAATCCAACTTTCGATCTTTGATTTCATTTTTGATTCGATTTTTGACTAAGCATGGTATAAGGTGTTACATCACCAATTTGTTATCTTCTTTCCTTATTTTTGCTTTCGATTAGGCTTGATATTTTGTTACATCTTTTACAGATTGTTGCTATACTCAAGAAATGATGCTCGTCACCAACTGTTAGATTCTATCGTCAAGGATAGAGCTACTGGTGGCAAGGTAGAAGGCCATCATTTGGTTGATATTGTTGCAATGGTTTCGGTATTTCCAAATGGCGTATCGTTGGTTGGGACGCGGCTACTAGGCCAGAGATAAGCTTTATATTACTAGTTGGTTGGGTGGGTGAATCGAGATGCTAAGCTGGGTGAGTGGATTGTCAAGAGTTGAACAGAGCTACTTGATGAGGTTGGCCGAGGGATGAATTAGTCGGTTTGATTGCTTTATTTTGTCGAATGGCTTGGTTGGGCGTATGAGGGACATAGGGTTGTAATCTTGAACCTTGAAATTACCCCTAAAATTTAAGGATTTTACTCTGAAATTTTTAAACTTTTAGGACCCCAACCCCCAAAATATATCTTATACGAAAATAGCAACTTTTCTAATAAAATAATAATATTTATTAATTCCAAACCAATCAATTAAATTCTCATCTAGAGAGGTAATCAGGCCATTTGGATCGAGTTTGGTTGAGTTATTTTGGGTCTAAACTTCTTCAGTTTAGATTCATTTTAGGTCGAATCAGATCTGGTTAGGAATTAGTTTGGGTATATGAAAATTCAATTTGGGTCTCGTATCGGCCTGGGTCAAAATGTATCTGTTGGTTTTCAAGTCGAGTTTGTAGACACCCGTTTTGTATGGGTTATTATTATTATTATTTAATATTATTATTATTTTATTATTATTTACGTTTTTATTTATATTAATTTTACAAAAAAGTTATAGAGAAAAATAAAAAAGTAAAAAAGACAAAAAATGAAAAAGTTGCCCATGCTTTGCCCCTCCGCCTGCACGCCTCTGTTGCTGCCCAACACCAAACACGCATAGCAACTGAACCACCGAGCACTCCGCGCCGATGATGCCACCAGCACTGACCGCAAGCTTTATCTCCGGTGATTTCGTGCCCTCGGCCAAAACACCACCTGCAAGCAAAAATGGATAAAAAAACAAAATAATCAGAAACAAATGTAAAGGGAGGCAAACAAAAGGAATTGGGGGAATTTCATTTATTTTGGGGTGAATTTTTGTTTCGGGTTATAAAACCCACAGAAAAAATGTAAAGAGAGGATATATTTTCATTAAAAAACAATAGTGTAACCCCACCATTAGAAAGCAACCAAGTGGTACCAAAAGAAGAAATAGATACATTTTAAAGGTATTCTTTCATTCTTCCTTGAGTCTGTAACAAACTTTTTCCCCTTTGATTTTTAAATCAAACTAGAAGAAAAGGGGTGGGGGTTTTGAGGTGTGTAGAAAGAGAGAGAAAAGTGGTTCGTTTACCTTAAAAAAGGGTTATCATCGGTGTTGTGACCATCGGGGAGTTGATGGTCGTGTCCTTAAGTCGATTAGTGGTATGGATATTGACTTAGGGGGTTTATTTTGGTCGTTTAGAATGGAGATAAGAGGAAGATATAAGCGCTTAGGTGTTTTGATGGGTAACCCAGCCACCACAATAGTGGTTGGAGAGAAGAACTGTGTCCATATAGGGCATTGGAGTTTTAACCGAGAAGATGAAAAATAAAGAGAGGTGTTTTTACGTCCTTTAGACCTTTGGGGTTTTATTCACAAGTCGTTCTGACGTCGGTCGAGAGGTAGGGCACTGCCGTCGGGGTGGTGGTCGGTGACGTTAGGTCATGGGTTGGTGAGGACGACCGCATGGTGAGGGGGAGATGTGTTTGAGAGAAAAATAACTTTTTTAGATTAGGGTTTTCATATGAAAAAAAAAGATAGGTCTTATATTAAAGTTTAAGGGCTAATTGTGTTTAGATCCCTAATATTTAGGCATATTTTTACGTTTATGTCACTAATGCCTATCTTGTTTTATTAATTTATGATTTAGACTCATTGTTTTATTTTTGTTTCGATTTGGCCACTTCTTAATTTTTTGTTTTTTTGAATTAGATTCTGTTTTGTCACCTTGTTACATTTAGGTCACTTATTTTTTTTTTTTTCGAATTAGCTACTATTTTTTATTTTCTTTTATTTTAACCAATATTTTTATTTATAATATGCTAATTGTTATTTTATTTTATTTTATTTTAATACTTTATAATTTTAAACGTTAAGACGTCTTTGTGGTGACCCGCCCTGGGGTACGATCCACATTATTATGGCCCGGATAAAATTCTAACTACTAATTTCTAACTTTGCTAATTTATTAACCACTCACTACTAACTTTGCTAATTTATTAACCCCTAACTCTAATTACATTCAATTCTATTAATTTATGTTATTTACATTTATACCCTTTAATTTTGTTATTTTAATTTCAGCCTTATATTTTTAATTAATTTTGATTTACTTCCTTTATATTTGTTATTTGTTTGTAATTTTGTTCATTTTCAATTTTCTTCAATTTGGTCCTTGAACTTTGATTTTAAATTGAATCTTTAGATTTAGGTTTCAAATATTTTAGTCCTAATTTATATTATTTTATCTTTTAGAGCTAATCCTTAAATTTATGTTTCTTTTAATTTAGTCTTTTATTTAAATGTTTATGTTTTAATTTTGATCCATGATTTGCTGTTTTTTACTATTAGTCTTGTATTTACTCATTTCATTTAATTTTTAGTCTTGTATTTGGACTCGTCATATTTATATTATTGTACTTAGAGCACTTTAACAAATTTAACACATACATACACTATATATTTCATTTCATACCTACGTATTTTGCTTTTATTTAAAATAGTATGTATACATATTACTTGTTTTGTATTATCTTTTACTATTTATTATTTATAATTGTTTTGGCAGCATTATATATACACTTAGTGTTAAGTATATTTTGTTAGATTCGATCGTAAATATCTTAAAGGTAATATTACTTTGTGAGGGGAACCCATGGAAACACGCCTTAACTGACTAGGAGTGTGTTTTTAGGATTGCATGTACTAAATGATATTCCTTTTTGCATTCGAATATTTTTAGTGTACTAAATATATTTATTTTTATTTAAAAATAGGGTAACAATCTTTTATATGGATAACCCATAAAATCGCGCCATAAATAACAAGGAGTGTGCTTTTGAGGATTGTCCATACGAAGTAATTCCCTTTTTCGATTTTTTTCTTCTAATAGAATAATTTAAATGTATATTCAAATTTGTAAATTTCAATATTTAGATGATGTATAATCGCTCAGGTACCAATTTTAGGTGTTGTGGGGTGCTCATCCTTCCCCACGCGTAACCGACTCCCGAACCCTTTTCAAAATGAGTTTATGGTTAAATGAATATCACTTTTTATCTTTTAAGATTTTTTCTTAAAATTATTTTAATAGATGTTTTTAGGTTTCGACCTACCTAATCCAAAGGTCGATGGAAACTCCAAATTTATTTATTTGTGAATTTATTTTAAAACCTAATATTTTCAAAAATTGAGTTGGATCACTCCCCGCCAGAGACCCAAAAAGTTTAAGGACATTCTGATAGTTTGGTGACTCTACTGTGGACGTTAAGAGTTTGGTTGTAATCGATTATACGTCATATTTTTAGTTGAAAATAGTAAATATGAATGATGTTTAAATTTTGATCCTTATGTTTTTGTTTGATTCGCATCACATCATACATCTTTTACTTATTTATTAGTTGTACTAATGTGTAATTTTTGTGTTTCAGATTTTAAACCTTTTTTAGTCTGATTGTTTTTGGATCGAGGAAAAGGATTGTGAGTTTCCCCTCACACACACTAAAACCATGAATAATTAGAGCCTTCTAACAATGCTATGTCCCATTAGGTATGGGTGAATGCTACCTTTATGTGAGAAAAAATATTTTTCTCTGCATGGGATTTAGCAAGTAACCTGTGGGGTACATATGCCTTGTGTTTACAAGCAAAACATTGAGTTTCCTCGCATAGAGATGGGGAAATGCATTCTCTCGAATTGAACTTGATCCGTTTAAGCCTATAATGGGTGAGGATCGAGGGCTTGGCAAGCATAAGGGAGCACCAACAAAGGACAACTTGAGAACTCTTTTAGGAGTACCGAAACTCTGCCTGTTTTGTACTGAATTTCTATCCAAGCCACAAAGGGGAAACTCACTCTGACCTTTCCTCAAATTTACTTATTTAGTTATTTATTTATTTCGAAGAATAAGAACTAGAATTCATGCATTTAGGTTTGTTTTTACTGAATAAGCATAAGAACTAGATGAAACGAGGTTAGGATTTTTACGTTGAACAAAGCATGGAGGTAGAAAACATGTCTGGGTATAATTGTTATGAAAGCATGTCAGGGTAGATACCATGTTGGGTAAGATCTTTTATTTTCGTAAATATTTTTTTTGGCTAAGTTCTAGGTACAATGTCTTTTGTTTTATCTTATTTTTCTCTGTCTTTTGCTTGCATTTACATTTTCACATCATAACCAAACAAGGTGTTAATTCGCAAGTGATTGACCAAATTATAAGGTTTTCATATCGACATAAGAGTTCCATAACGAGGTAGTCAAATCTGTAAGGGCGACGACTTACAAATAATTTGATCGACGAAGGAAAAGCTCAAAGTCGATGGAAGACTCCTATTAAATGAACAAAGATCGAGATGATACCAAATAGTTAGATTCTAGTTGAATCAAGAATGAGAAGATCCTTCACGAGATATCAATGATGCTTTCCTATTAAAGAATCCCTCGAAAATGTAAGTCTGGAGATCCAACAATCACAATAGGTGAATTAAAATGAAGATAGACGGATCAACACTATGAGAAGTCCAACAACGACTATGAGGACAATATCAAATCATGAGAAAGGCCTAGATCAAGTAAACGAAGAAAATGAAGTTCATTTGTCTAGTGTAAGGAGAACTTATGGTCTGATGAAGGTTGTTCTATGCTGGTTGCTTTTGTAATTAACACCTTGTGCGTTTGTATTTGCATTTGCATTCTTGTTTTGCATTAGCTCATTAATTTATGTATTTTTCTATTATTTCTTTTATAATAATTCTTGTCACTTTGTTATCTTATTTGTATTAACTTGCTTTTATGTTTCTTTTCTTTTGCTTGTATCGCATGATCATGGCATAATCAAAAGGTGTTGCTTTTGAGTGGTCATCAGATTAAAAGTTTTTCATCATGATCAAGTACAATATAACACAACTAGGGAATGACATATTGAGGAAGCTTCCAGAATAGTATATAGTTATGCACTCAAAGATCGTATGTCCGACGAAGAGTAAAAGGAGATAAGAGAGATGAGAGAACAAATGTCCCAGATGATGGATAGAATAGTTGCTTTGGCCAAAAGAAAAGAGATTTATGTAAAAGAAAAGAAAGAGCTATATGAAAACAATCATGTGATTTCAAATACACAAGAGATTACTTTAGAACAAGTTGATCCTAGCTAATCTGAGAAATCACGTACAATCACCATTTGTATCAACAAGTTGTCTAGAGACACAAAGGAAATGATGATAAATGTAGAAGTTCAGAAAGATGAAAAGAATTC